AGAAGTCCCTGGGGGGGTGCAAGTGCTGATGGCAGGCTACGGCGCTGAGGATGAGGCCGTTGCCCAGGAGGGCAGCCAGGGAGATGCCCAGGAAGAGCCAGAAGTGCAGCAAATGCAGCTCCCACCTGTCTGCCAATGCCAGGAGCAGGAACTGGGACATTGAGCTGCTGTTGCACATTGGTTGTTCCTTAGCACAGGGTCTGTTCAGAAAAGGAAACAGAGGAAACAGTTAGGACAGACCTCTGGGAAAAAACAACTCCATTTCGAAGGGAAATGGATATGTCAAATGTCACCAAATGCACACCAAGGAGTCAGTTTTGCTCTGCTGCAGTGCAACATGGACCTTTTTTGGTAGACCTCTCACCCAAACAAGGAATGTCAGATGTAACAGACCTTGAATACAAAAGTGCCATCTCTTCCCCCATGACTCAAAAGAACTGTGGCATCAGAGAAGAAGCTCAGTCTGATCTCAGAATAATTTTGCCTGTGTTTTCTATTTTTACCATCACACCTGGAGAAGGTTCTTTTCCACTGCAGGAATCCTCATTTCTATGGCCCAGCACACAGTGCCCAGCAGCGCTGCAGGGAAGGGCCCCCAGAGTTGCCTGAACGCCCCCTCCCCCAGGCCTTGGGGGCACTTGTCCCCCACTCCCTGCCCAGGACTCCGCTGCCTGGAGCTGTCCCTGCCAGCAGCTGCTTCTCTGGGCCCAGGGCTGGGCCCTGGAAGTGCTGTCAGAGGCCATTCCAGCCCTGGGGGTTCAGCTCTGCCCTGCAGAGCCCTCTCAGCAGCACAGGGCACTGCCCAGGGGCAGCTCTGCCTGGGCAGGCTCTGATGGCAAAGTCAGAGCAACACTGGGGAGGCTGGTAAAGGTTCACTGATGCTGCCTGTATGGTATGGTGTGGTGATTTCTTATAATCCCTGCTTTATTCACTGTAACATTATTAATATAATAAATAAATAAGTCCCATAGGGACCGTGGTGAACACCAACGTGGTGGGGTAACGAATGTCTTTATTCAAAGAGTCACAACTTTAAATAGTAGTTTCAAATGAACCCACGTCACACAGGTAACTTCCTAAGCCAATCCCATACAAACATTCAAGTGAGCATGTGCAACAGAGTCTTAAAACTACAATTCCCAGAATACGTCAGCAGAACCTGGTATAACCACACCCATATTTCCCCCCTTTTTAATAATAACAAAATACAGAACAGTGCAATTCTTAACAAAACATTCTTCACTTGACATAGTAAACCTATTTCTTATTTAAACCTTATATTCCTAAAAGTTCTATGCAACTGGGTAGAACAAAAACCTTTATTATCTGAGGGTTTGCCTATAATTGGGGAAAACTAACTTTATTAAAGGACAAGGAAAAGTTTAAAGGAGGAACATCATGTTCTGATGTCTTTTGAAGGTGATGTGTTAGAGGTAGTGTTTGTCTCAGATATATTTTGTAAGGTGTATATGGTTTTCATACATTCACGCATCCACACAATCTCTCTGTCATTCATTCATTTGGTGGCCACCGTTCTCTCTTCATTCATGCATACTTGCAACTTAACAACTCTTAAATGAAATTTGTTTGATTCAGCACTTACTTAATCTCATGCATATTTTCGCCTTGTACTCCCTCTTTGTTTTTGTTAATATTGAAAGTTAATGAATTTGAAGGTATAATACTGGCAAGTAGTGTGCATATTCCTGAGTCTGCAGTTAAAAAAAATCAATAGGTAGGTTACTATTACAATCCGTTACTTAATAACAATAGAAATCTTAAAGATGCTAATTACATTACTTAAACAAAATAGCTATAATAATCAAACTTATCTAGATGCACTTAAGAATTTAACAATTTTAAACAATACTTAGTAAACCTCAGTAATCTAAACAGTGTTATAGGGAAATTAGAAACTTAAAAGTGTATCAATAAGGTAAGTTGAATTCTTCTCTATTATCAATGTAAACAGAAAACCTAAGGATAGGCAACTAAAAGATTTACGTAAAAAACAGTCAGTACATTTAGTGTTGTATTGCTTCGGCCCCGGCTCGGGTCGCTGCCCCCCTTCACGGGGGGTGGTGTTACAGTCGGAGCCGCTGCGGTTACGGCGTGGTCATGCCGCTGGCACCGCTCTTCTTTCGGCCCTGGGATTCGGAGAGACTTGTTGTGCGGCGGCTCCAGTACCTGCCACCGCTTGCGCGGTGCAGGGCCATCTACCCGTCGGAGTCCTTTCCAGTCGACCCGAAGCCGGCCGCGGGGTATTGCCGCGGAGGAAATGTGCCTGGCCGGCCCATCCCCGCGGAGACTGGAGTTCAGGTTTTGGCTGGGCGGGCCGGCCGGCGCTCGCGCGACCGGGGTACGGGTACAGCGCATGCCCAGCCGCGCCAGGGTGTCTCCGGGCTGCAGACGGTGCATTCGAGGGGCCGCGCCGGCCCCGCCGCTCCCCGCCATGGCCCGGGGGGTGCTTCAGGGGGTCTTGGTCCAGCCCCGCCCTCGTGAGAGGACCACGCCGTGGCCGCTGCCGCCTGGCCTCGGCTCAGCGACGCCACGCGCCGCCAGTTTCGGTGTTCATTGGGGCCTGGCCCCCGCACCCCCGGGGTAACCCCGCCACCATTGCCGCCGTCGCTCCCTGCAGCCGCCAGCAAGGTGAGGGCCGAGGCTGCGCCGCTTTCAGGCGCAGACCTCCCCCCCGTCCGTTGTCCGCCTGCAGCTCCACGGAGTGGCGCACCGCCCTCGGCCCGCCTCGCCGCGACCGCCTCGCGCTTTGCCAGTTCCGCGCTCTGCACCGGCACCGGTGTCTTCTTCAGCTCCCGGCGCCTGGGCACGCTCCACACGGCCCCATGCAGCCGGGTCCCGCGCGCCGCCGCCCACATTTCACGCGCTCTGAGACGTCCCAACCCCGCTCCTCCGGGTCGTCCTGATGGTTGTCGAGCACCCTGGAACGGCCCGACGCAGTGCCCGGCATCTTGGGCGTGCAGTTTCTCAGCTGCACCAGAAAGTTCACAAGCGACGTGGTGGCCACTGCGGGCCTCACATCGCCGCTGGCCACGGGCGGGACGCACACGCCGCCGGACACGGCTCCGTCCGGGGGAGTGGCCATGGCCACGGCCACCGGCACAGAGTCCCTTTTGCCGGCCGCGCCGCCCTCGGCTCCGTGTGCAATCTCGCGCCACAGCCTCGGCACATGCCCACTCGGCCGCCCGCATCCCCGCGCGTCTGGGTCGTCTCGGTTCGGAGTCCCCTGGACTCCATCTGCAAATCTGCACCAAAGTCCCGGCGCAAGTCCGCTCGGCCGTTTGCCCCGCTGCCTGGGATGGCCGCGGCGCCACCCCATGGCCCCCCCCCAGGCACGGCGGTCCCCTCTCCGGGCCGGGACCCCACGCGGAGCCATGCCAGGAGCTCCACACGGGTCGGAGGCGCGGCGGGAGCGGCCGCCGACCGCGGCAGGGTCCCCGCGCCCGGGCCACCGCCCTCCGCTCGGCCACTCCTCGGCCGGGCCCCAGTTCGCCCGTGGCCCCCGGGCAGAGGAGCCCTGTGGCTGCGCCACTCCAGCTCGCCCCGCCACGCCGCTCTCGGCGCCCCACGCCGCTCTAGCGTCCTCGCCCCGCGCCGCTCCGGGCGCGGTGCTGCCCGCAGCGGCTGGGCCGGGCCCGTCTCTCTCGGCGAGAGCGGGCGAGGCCGTCGCGGCGGGCATGGGGTTCGCACCGGCGCTGCCGCCCATGGTCCCGGCTCCGCTGTCGGAGCCGTCCACCTCGCCGCCCATAGTCCCGGGCGGTGCCACGCCGATCCATCCTTTTAAAACATCGCACCGCTGCCGCTGGCAGGCACAGCAGCTGCTGCCTAGTTACCCGCCTGCAGCACGGACCATGGTCTATGCATGCCTCCCGCAGAGGCAGTCTGTAAGGTGACCACGAGAGAGGAAGACAAGGTACCACGTCCTGCTTTTGGCATGGGCGATATGGCACCCCCCATGCTCCAGTGTGGATTCCACGTGTTTGCAAGGTTGCAATGGCCTGGGGATTCAAAGTCCATTCCCTTCCACCAGTCACACAATTCACGACACGCGCCTTTCTCCCGGGACCCACGCATCCGTGAAAATTCAGTACAAAAAGGTACATTCCAAGGTCCCTTGTCCGAGCTCTCGGCACCCCCCCCCCCCCTCTCTCCACATGGTAAGACCTCGTGGAGGTCGCTACCCGGGCATGTCTGGGGGGGGTAGAGACTCAAGGTTTTCCTTTGTGGACGAATTTTCTTGCGCGGGTTTTAAAATATCTATTTTCTTCTCCTCTGCTTTCTTTCCGTTTCTCCACCCCCCTCTCCAAGTAGTTTCACCAAGAACTGTAAACAGTACCAGTCCTAAAACAGTTATTTTCATCAGTTTTAAAAGTCCAGCTATTTTATGTCTGTAAACTTGTCTCCAAAGTCCTTTCAACTTTAAGCTTAAAGTTGTTCACGTGAATGAAAAGTTTCCATTTTTTCTGTCTTTTTTCTTTTTTTATTTTTTTTTTCTAATTTTTTCCCGCCCTCTCACCTGGACGAAGGTTTTTCTTCTTTCTTCTTTGTTTCCGAGAGCTTTCTCTCCAAATGTAGGCAAATTCCCACCAAGATTTTCAGGCCTTTACTTCGAGCTGAATTGCGGTTCCTCCGCAGACGCCCATCAGAGTTTCCTTTTCTCTGGTACCTGGCGTATATGACTTTTTAATGGCAAGTGTCCTTCAACTTATATTAAAGTTGGTACCTGACACCTGTCCATAATCTCCCTGATTCAGGGCAAGGTTTATGTCCCTGTTTGGGATCGCCAAATGTAGCGTTATTAATATAATAAATAAATAAGTCCCATAGGGACCGTGGTGAACACCAACGTGGTGGGGTAACAAATGTCTTTATTCAAAGAGTCACAGCTTTAAATAGTAGTTTCAAATGAACCCACGTCACACAGGTAACTTCCTAAGCAAATCCCATACAAACATTCAAGTGAGCATGTGCAACAGAGTCTTAGAACTACAATTCCCAGAATACGTCAGCAGAACCTGGTATAACCACACCCATAATTCACCTCTAGGAGAAAAAGACTTGGAATTTCAGTGCCTTCTCCTGGATTGAGAGAATAATTTCTACGTCCCTTTGCCTACACAGAAAACCCAAAGCAAAGGTAGAAAGGACAGGGCACATCCCAGTCAGGCAGCCTCTGACTTCCTGTGCTTCATTTAAACTCTTGTAAGATCTCCTTTAGTCATCTGGAGCTGTGAGTAGCTTTGAAACCTGCTGTCCTGTGAGATTGGAAGGATCCTGCTCTGCCCTTCCAGAGGTTGCTGATTCCCCACAGCCCTTCTCCCCTAGCCCTGGGAGAAGCTCCCCAGCCCAGCTGAGAGTGCCCCTGGCAGGTGGCAGAGTTGCTGCCCCGGCACAGCCCCTGGGCTGCAGGACCCTGCTCTACAGGACAGCTTGGGGAAGCCTGGGGGGCACAGCCCGGCTTCACAGCCCTGCAGGAGCCCTGGGAGAAGGGAACTCTGCTGGCATGTGCCTGGGATGGTGCAGCAGGGAGTGGGATGTGCCAGTGTTAGGAGATCTTTGCACAAACTGCAGACACATTGCCCTTCATGCTGACTTACCATGAGGAAGCCTGGAAAGATTCCTCCTCCAGTGGATCTTCCTCTCGACTTCCCTCCCAGCCCAGGGCTCTGCGTAACCTCTCTCTGCCTTGCTTTTGTGTCCTGGGTGCTGCAGGCAGTGCCCTCAACCCTGCTGGGCTGTGCAGAGGAGCTGCTCCTGGGCAGAGCTGTCTCTTTGAAGCTCTTCTTAGTTGCCAGGAGCTGCCTGCATGCCAGGAGCCTGACCCAGCTCAGCAGCACAGCAACAGCCCCCAGGCATTTCATCACCCTCAGAGGGGAGGGTTAAGGGAGGTTTGATGATCTTTACATGAGACTCAGTCCCTGAGAGTTTGCAAGAAGTCAGAGATTGAAACACTAAAGTTTCTTGCAGTGCTAATGAGTCTCACTGAGGGACACAACTGAGAATGCGTCCCCAGGTTCCAGTTAGAGCAAAAAACTGCAGACAGTGATGACAAGGATGGACAAGCAAGGCAAAGGTGGCTCTGACGCTGAAGAAACATTGACTTGTTTCCTCAATCCAAAGGACCAAGGTCTGACCCCCAGCCCTTGGGAAGGCAGATCCTGTCCCTGCCTCATTGCTCAGGGCTCTTCCTGGGCCACTGGGATGTGGGATGTGCAGTGCCAAGGGCAGGATGATGGGGTGGCACCTGCCAGGCTACTGAGCAGGGACAAGGAGGTCAAGAGGCCCCAGGGCTGCAAGGGCCACTTGTCTCCTCCTGGCATCAGGGACACAGCCAGCAGCCATGGCCAAAGGCCTGCAGAAGGTGGTTGTGTCAGGGCCTTTCAACTTCTGCACAGGCCTCTCTGCTGTGCAGCCCAGGCTGTCCTACGGTGTCCATGCCCTGCCCCTTTCCCTGCAGGCTGTCGTCATCCCCCCGGCTGCCCCACCTCGCTGGCCCCTTCCTGCACTGACATCTCTGCGTCCTCCCTGGCTCTTCCTGCACACACAAAGCCTTGGGCTCATCCAGACTCCTCCTGGTTGATGTGCTGTACCACAGCACTGCCCTTAGAGTGAAATTCTTTTCTGCTCTTGCCAGCCTGGACCTCCCCAGCTGCACTTGGCATTAGTTCTTTATTGCTCCGGCTGTTTTCTGCTACATCCACCCTATCTGAAGTGACTCTTCAAGCACTCCCAGTGTTCTTCTCTGCTGTCCTCTGTCTGCACACCACTGAACACACAACTCCTTTGCCCCTGTAAAATGGCCATATGTTTGAGATCTCCAAAGGCCTTCCTGGGACATCTCTGAGCACTCTCCAAGGTGTCTGCAGATGAACATATGGTGCTCATAGTCTGAGATAGTCACAGGGATATGTTTTACCAAGGCCTGTAGTGGCAGAACACGTGGCTTTAAACTGAAATAGGGGAGCATTATATTGGCTAAAAGGAAGAAATACTTACCAATGGTGCTGGCAAGAACTGCAGCAGAAGAGGATGTCCCATCCATGGATTTGTCCAAGATCAGAACCTTTGAGCAGCCTGAATTAGTGAAGATGTCACTCTCCATGTCCAGGGGTTTGGACCACATCAGCTTTTATCTCCATTCCAAGCCAAACCATTCTGTGATTCAATAATCAAAACTCCTTCTCCAAAGAATTTCTTTTGCTGGGACATGAATTCCCATGTTTTTGGAGAAGGCATTTTAAAAAGGTAAAAAATCAATTCAAATTAAGTTCCAAAACCTCTGTGTGAGAGTTTCACCAAATGGGTCAATGGCAGAGCCTGCCAGGATGACCTTGCCAGTTTAAGATGAGGAACTGTGTTTGGGGTGTGAGTCTTATATTGGGCAACAAGAAATCACATTTGAAGACTGTGCAAGACCTGTCATGGTTTCTCTGGGGAAGAACCAAAGGAAGGGAAATGGTGGGATCACAGTGGTTTGTGAAGGAAAGGGTGTGAGAAAATAGAGAGAAAAGGGCATGAAAAAGATGGTCATGGTAAACAGGAGGATGCTCAAGACACTTCTCAGGCCATGCCCTGACACTGATCCCCACAGCCTGTCTTGTTTTCTTGATAACTCCATTGCCAAGAAGTTTCTGTGGGGAGGGACCTCTCTGCTCCTGGCACAGATTGTGGCCCAAGTTCTATTCCCTGAAGCAGGAACCACAAATATTCAGTTCTTTGGGGGACCAGACTCTGCCCAGACTGGGATGTGTGTTGGGAGCACAAAACAATGAAGAAAATGCAAATCTAAGCACACAGATGGAGGGGTTTGTCCCCCTGCCAGAGGAACCACGGACACTGCCAAAACTCAGGGAGACAAGGGAACCCCAGGACACTGTGGAATCTCCTGGAATCAAGGGGTCATTGGAATCCACTGGGACCTCCTGGAACCAAAGGGAACATGTGACACTGTGGAACCTCATGGGATCAAAAGGACATCAGGACTTTGTGGAACGTCAGGGAATCAAGGGGCCAGTGTGACATCACAGAACCTTTTGGAACCAAAGGGGACCAATGGGACATTGTGGAATCTCATGGAATCAAGGGACCATTGTGACACTGTGGAACCTCACAGAATCCAGAGGCCATTCTGATTCTGCAAGGCCTTATGGAGTCAAAGGGACCATTGGGACACTGTGGAACCTCATGGGATCAAGGGGCCTCTGTGACACTGGGGAAAATGATGGAATCAGTGGGCCATTGTCACACGGCAGGGCCTTATGGAGTCAAAGAACGTTGGAAACAGTGCAAGCTCATGGAATCAAGGAGCAATTGTTGCACTGCAGAGCCTCAAGGAATAAAGGATCCAATCTTGGTTTCAGATTTTGTCAACAAATTAAATTGAAGGAATTCCAGAAGTGTGATTGAAGTACTTTTGTCCCACAGGTTTTAATGATTGGCAAAAGGAGAATATTTATATAAAATGAATCATTTATACTTACAAATGATCAGAAAAAATATCCTAATTAGAATTATTTACTACACAGTATAAAGGCTAAAACTACTGGCAGTGCAGTATAAGATAGGATAGTGCAGTATATTGAAGCAATTCTGGAAAGAATTATATTAAAATCAACAAAAAGAAATAATTACTATGTAGAGATCTGATGTCACTTACCCAGACCAATGGTCATGGGGAGATTTCTTTTGGTCAATCTTGGCGAGTGTCCTTGGAGGGCGTCCCCAGCCAAGGCAGGAATCTCCACACATATACCCCAAGAAGGGCTGTGTTAGAAGAAGCTGCCTGAAGGAAAGGGGACTGGACTGCTCTAGTATGAAGGGACTGACTGCTCCTCACAAATGTCCAGACCAGTTACCAGCTTCTCTGTCACATCCCTTTCCACCCTCTGGGGGAAGAACCTTTTCCCAAGATCCAACCTAACCCTGGCCTGACACAACTCCAGAACATTCCCTCAGTGCTGTCTCTGGTCCCACCAGAGCAGAGCTCAGGGTCTGCCCCTCCTCTGCCCCTGCCCAGGGAGTTGTGACTGCAGTGAGGTCTCCCCTCCTCAAGAGCCGGGAGGTCACTTTGCTGTCCTGGGGGCTCCATGGAGACCTCCCAGGGCTCATCCTGCACAATCTCCTGGAATCAAAGGCTCTGTGGGGACACTGGAGGGCCATGTGGAGTCCAGGGACCATTGGGACACTGGGGAAACTCATGGAATGAAGGGACCATTGTGACCCTGCAGGGCATCGTGGAACCTTGTCTGTTGGGAAACACAAAAGGATGTGTGGGGGTGTTTAACTGACAACCAGGAGAATTTTGGAGAGGGACCTTTACACACCGAGATATTGATGTGTCCACACATCTCTGCCTGGGTGTGGGTGTGAATTGACTGTGGTGTGAGTGTTGTTATTGTGAATCTATAATTCAGTCACTTAAATTTTAGCAAATGCTATTGAATTCCTTGATAACTGTTAAAATGCTCAGTAATTAAGTCCTACTAATCTCTTTTGCCCCCTTATCTTTGTGTCAAAATCCTTTGCACCCTGACCCTCTTGCATTTCAAGGCTCTGTGTAAATCATTCTTTTTTCATAAAATAATGGGTGTTTTTTGTGACGTCCACATGGAAATCTCCCTCCTCAGCTAAACTGCAAAACCACTCCAATTAGTTGTTGAAGTCTTTAAGATATGAAGACAATAAAAGGAAGAGAAAGAAATTGTTTTTCTGTATTTAATGAGCCCCACAGTGTGTTTAGAGACAAGTCCATCATGCTGAAGTATGAGAGAAGATTTATGAAGCTGCTCAAGAGCTGTCTCTTTGAAGCTCTTCTTGGTTGCCAGGAGCTCCCTGTGTGCCAGGAGCCCGGCCCAGCTCAGCAGCACAGCAACAGCCCCAGGCAACCCTTTCTCTGCCCCTCTGGGCTCCCTCCACGTGTCCCTGTGGCTCCAGGGGAACCTGCTGGGACACAGCTGAAGGAAAGAATGATGTTCTTCTCTCAGCTGGCCACAGACACTTCTTTCAGCAGTGTCATTTCTCCAAACAGACACAGAGTTAAGTCCAAGAGTCCCCTTTTCATGTCCCATCCTTAGACAGGAACCCCAAAGTGCCCAGGAGGGATCTCCTTCCCCTGCACTGAGGAAAGGGACTCAGCTGAGTCAACAGAGGTGTCTCATTGTGGCTCTACAGACCTGGGGCCAGAAGGACACTCAGCTCCCTCCACAACCCCCATGGGCTGGGATTCCTCCTGCCCCACTTCAGTGGGCACAAAACAGGCACCTGCAGGTGACTCCTTATCCCAGTTCCCCGGCAATGAATGAAGAGCAAAGCCAGGAGTGACCTGCTGGGACACAAAGCCCTGGTTCCTTCTGAGGGGCCAGAGGGGACCGAGATTCCTGCTGAGAACTGCAGGCTCCAATGGAGCAGTTCCCAGGGACAGGGCAGCAGCTGTGGGATCTTCTTGGAGGCTGCTGGGACATTGCTTTGGCCAACTGAAGTGGCAGAAGGTGCCCCCATGTAGGACAGGGGAACCTGTCACTGTTCCTTCTGTGCAGGGCAGCCCCTGGAGGTGCTCAGGTGACCAAATGGAGTCAGGTGGCACAGGGAGAGAGGTCTCTCTCCTGTTCTTTATCGGGGTATTTTCTCATCTGCATCTGCTGCTCTCAAAGAGGAAGAGTTGGGCATGGGTGTGAAAAGCAGTGTCAGCCTGGGCTGTGGTGCCCATGGAATGGGAGGTCTCACCTCCCACGGGGAAGGGTAATAGAAGAGAGCAGAGACTGGAGTGGAGAGGAGCAGACTTTGCCCGAGTCTCGTGACTTGGAGTGGGGGACCCACTCGTGTGAGAAACACAGAAGGGCAGCAGAGCTTAGTCCAGCTGCTCTGCAAGGACAGTGTGTGGCAGGTCCCAGACTGTGCACACCAACAGTCAGGGAAAGAAGCAGAGCTGAGAAGGGGATGAAGGGCAGATCCCAGGGGGTCAGAATCAGTGCACAGAGAATACAATACCAGACTCCCCACTTGGACCAAGTCTGTGGGACACACAAGATGGGGGCTACTGAAGAGGGAGGAAATGTAAACATGATTTTTTTTTTTTTTTTAAGAAAACATCAAAACCATAGAAAATAAGAACATGTACCTAAGGAAAGACCTCTTTGTTCATGGGTGTTATGGCACACAGTGGGAGTGTCAGTCAGCAAAAAATATTAAACAATTAAACATCACGGACTGTTCTTACGCAAAAATCAAATCCCCTGCATGAGCAGGAGAGCTTGAGGATCTATGGGACCTCACAGAAGAACTTCCCCAGGGCATTGCCCTGGCACAGGGGCAGGGAAAATGTATTGGCTGTGTGCAGAAGAGCAGTGACAAACCCAGAGGTCCAGGCAGCTGCTACCATCTGGGCACAAGCTCTGCTGCCCAGGAGGGTCCCATAGTGCAGGGGTTTGCAGATGGCAATGTAGCGGTTGTAGCACATGATGGTCAGGAGGGAAAACTCTGCTGAGATGAAGAACAGAAAGAAAAAGGCCTGAGCAGCACATTCTGTGTAGGAGATGTTTGTGGTGTCCCAGAGGGAGTTGTGCATGGCTTTGGGCACAGTGGTGCAGATGCAGCCCAGGTCTGTGAGAAAGAGGTGCAGCAGGAAGAAGTCCCTGGGGGTGTGCAGGTGCTGGTCGCAGGCTACGGCGCTGAGGATGAGGCCGTTGCCCAGGAGGGCAGCCAGGGAGTTGCCCAGGAAGAGCCAGAAGGGCAGGAGCTGCAACTCCTGCCTGTCTGAAAATGCCAGCAGGAGGAACTGGGCCATGGAGCTACTGTTGGGCATTTGCTGCTTCCTCAGAGTGTTTGGATCTGTTGAGGAGGAGAAGTCAATACTGAGTTAGACCAGGCTGCTGCAGCCAAACAGGACACGTCTCACAGCCACCCCACTCTCAGGCTCTCTCTCCTCACTCACACCTCCCTGCAGCTCCCTCCCCTGAGCTCTGGCTGTTGCTGCCTGAGGGCACCATTGGAAGCAGAAACTCTGGGATGGGCTCCCAAGGACTCCTCCTTTCTCTGCTGGCAGAGGGAACTTGGAATGCAAGGTGATCTCTAATTAAATGTGCTCCTGATACACCCAAGAGCTTCTCAGATTTGCTGTTTGCAATTTGCCCAAATGAAGGACTGAGGGAATTCTTTGTGTTTGTTCCCCAGTTGCACCAGCCACAGGTAGGAGTCGTTGTGGATGTTGGAAATCCCTGACATTTCCATTGCACTGCAGGTCAAGTCTTGTGGGTTCTGAGGACACAGTTATGGTCCCTCAGTGCAGAGAGAAGAGCTGCTCTGCCCATCAGTCTGTGCTCAGCTGCCCTGTCATGGCAGCTTGGAGCTGGAGGAGCATCACCCTCCAGTGTTCCTCTACAGAGAAACTGCACAGGTCTCCAGGAATCCATGTCCAAAGAACAGATTGACACACTCCTCACCTTTTCATCTCTCCCCTCCCAGAGTAAGACACAAAATGCTCATTGCAGCTGCCCAGAGCATTTCCATGGATTTAGCACTGAGGAGTTTACTCCAAGGGGATCCTGTGCAGCAAAGAGATACTATGGCAGAGCTGTGCCCTCCTGGAGGGCACCTACAGCCCTGCAGGACACCCAGGGAAACAGCTGAAGAGCCTAAAGTTGCCTGGAGGGAAAAAGGGCACCTTACTCCCACAGACACATCTCCACAGCAGCACCCAAAGAGTTTGTGTCTGCACAGGAATCTGCCCCCCCAAACCCCACAGTGGCTCAGAAAAGCCAAGGGTGAGAAGAAGGGGAGTCCAGGTAGCAGGGGATGGCAGGGAAATGCCAGAGTGCTCCTGCAAAGGGAGGTGGGACAGACAGAGACAGATGGAAATGAGGGTCTTGTCCTTGCCTGGGCTCTGGCTGCTGAAGGGCAATGCCTAGCCTAGCCCCCGTGGGCCTGAGGGTAGAGGTTCTACTTGGGCTGGCAAAGGAGCCCAGGCAGGAGCTGCTCAGGGAAGGGCTCTGTGCCACACACACAGGCAGGGAGGGGCCACATCCCCCTGGCCAGCACTTGTGGCAGCAGCTGCCTCTCCCTCCCTGCCTGGGTGTGTGTGAGGAGCTGTTCCTGCCAGCAGCCCCTCCCTGTGCCCAGCTCAGCTCCCTGCCAGTGCTGCCAGAGCCCATGCCCAGCCCAGGGCCCAGGGGCAGCTCTGCCTGGGCAGGGGCTGCAGGGGCAGGTGTTGGCAGTGGATGTGCTTCCTGAGAAGCGCCCCTGCAAATGGTAGCGTGCACAACTGAAGCTGGGAGGAGCCCTGAGCCTGCAGCTGAAGGGCCCTGCCCAGCCCTGCCCTGCCATGAGGGCTCACCCTTTCCCCCCACCCCTTCTCCCTGCAGGGCCATGGCAGCTCCTTGGCCGGGCTGAGAGCTGCCCCTGGCAGGCAGCAGAGTCCCTGCCCCAGCACACACAGCCCTGGGGAGGCAGGACCCTGCTCTGCCCCACAGCCCTAGGAACCCCTGGCTGCACTCTCACCTTCCCACCCCACAGCCAGCCCTGGCAGGGTTGCCATTTGGCAGCTGCAAGAGCCACTTGCAGCAACTCACCTGCACTGCTCTGCAGCCACAGCCTTCCCGTGCCAAAGGGCTGCCAAGGTTCTTCCCCTGAGGAGCTCTGCCCTGTCCTCCCAGCCCAGGATCCCTTTCACCTCCTGTTCCCTTCTCCTGTCTGACCTTGCTGCCTGCAGCTCCTGCCCTGCTCTGCCATAGGACCATTTCCTCTGCACTGCAGGGACTGGGAGAATCCTTCTGATAGATCGTACAAACTGTGGGATGTGACAGCTTTAGGAGATCCCTGCAGGAAGGGAAGTTCAACTATCCTACAGCCAGAGAATTCTTCATTCAAATCCTGTGAATGTTTCTCGTGTAGTTAGAGCTTAGTCCCCTCCCAGCTCAGGCTGCCTCATCTCTGCCTTCTCTTCTGTGCCGTGGGTGCTGCAGGCAGTGCCCTCAGCCCTGCTGGGCTGTGCAGAGGAACTGCTCCTGGGCAGAGCTGTCTCTCTGCAGCGCTGCCCCCTTGCCAGGAGCTCCCTGTGTGCCAGGATACAGCCCAGCTCAGCAGCACAGCAACAGCCCCAGGCATTTCATCACCCTCGGCGGCTTTGGGGATGAGTCCCTGAACATCAGACCCTGAGGAGAGTTGAGGAACCTCTTGAGAAACCAAAGTGAGATTCAAACTGTAAAGTTTCTTGTAGTTTTAATAGGTCCCACTGAGGGACTCAACTGAGAAAACATCCTCAGGACTGTGTAAGAGCACAAACCTGGAAACTGTGATGACAACTCAGAGAATTACAAAATCACCAAGGTTGGAAGAAATCTTCAAGATCTTGTGATCCAGCTGTCAACCAGCATCACCATAGTCACCCCTCAACCATATCCCAAAGTTCCATATCCAGATGCCATCTGAACGCTTCCAGAGACTCCACCACTTCCCTGGGCTACTTGTTCCAACGCCTAAACACTCTCAGTGACAAAAGCATTTTATAATATCTAATCTGAACCTCACCCAAGGCAACTCAAGGCCATTTCCTCTCTTGCTCCCACTAAAAGCTTTGTAAAAGAGATCGACCCCTGTTCCCCACTAAAACCTCCTTTCTGGTCATTGTAGAGAGTGATGAGGTGCAGTCTGGGCTCCCCCCTCTGCAGACTAAAGAACCTCAGTTCCCTCAGCTGCTCCTCATCAGACATGTTTTCCAGACCTTTCCCCAGCTCCATTCCCTTCTCTGGACACACTCCAACCCCTCCAGGGCCTTTTTCCACTCAGGGACCAGAATTGGACACAGCACTCGAGGCGGGGCCTCCCCAAAGCCCAGCACAGAGGGGCAATCACTGCCCAGGTCCTTCTGACCACCCTGTTCTCCAGAAAGGCCAGGGTGCCCTTGGCCTTCTTGCCCCCCTGGGCACACTCTGACTCATATCCAGTCACTGTCAAGCAGCACCCCCAAGTCCCTTCCTGCTGAGCAGCTCTCAAGCCCCTCTGCCCCAAGCCTGGAGCGTTCCAGGGGGTTGTTGTGACCCAAGTGCAGGCTCTAACACTTGGCCTGATTGATGCAGCCTGTCCAGATCCCTCTGCAGAGCCTTCCTGCCCTCCAGCAGATCCACACTCACACCCCACTTCGTGGTACCCACGAATTTCCAGAGGAGGCACTCGATCCCCTCATCCAGATCATCAGTAATGATGTTAAACAGGAGCAACCTCAAGCCTGAGCCCTTGGGAAACCCACTAGTGACCAACCCTACCTGCATTTCGTTCCATCCCCCACCACTCCCTTGGCCATCAGCCAGTTTTTCCCCCAACAAACAGTTCCCTTGTCCAGACCATGAGCAGCCAGTTTGTGCAGGAGATGCTGTGGGAGATGGGGTCAAAGGCTTTCCTGATGTCAGCACAGACACATTCCCAGCCTTTCCCTCAACTGCTGAGGCAGTCATTTGTCACAGAAGGAGATCAGGTTGGTCAGGCAGGACCTGTCTTTCCCAACCGCACGCTGGTTGGGCCTGATCCCCTGGATGTTCTGCCCGTGCCATGGGATGGTGCACTCGGGTGCATCCCTTCTGGGCCCAGGGCCTTGTGGGGGTCCAATTGGCAGGGCAGGTCACTGAGCATTTCTTACTGGATTATGGGGGCATCATTCCGCTCCCTACCACCAACTTACTGCCCTGGGAGTTTAATGTACTGCGGACAGCTTGTTTTAGTTTTATAGACTGAACCAAAGGAGGCGTTAAGTCCCTCAACCTTTTCCTCGTCCCCTGACATTGTGCTACCCTCTGCATCTAGAAAAGGATGGAGCAATTGCGATCTCCAAGACACAAGAAGGCTGCAGTCTGCTTCCCTGATGACGAGAGGACCTCTAGTAGAGCAAAGAGGAAATCCAACAGTGAATGCTCTGACAAGGATAAATAGAGGGGCCCTGCCTTCTGTCAGGAGAAGGAAAGGGACCAGGAAGATAATCGGGTTTACTGGGCTGTGTGGGTTTGATGGTCTGGCACATTGGATCCCCAGAGATACCGAGCTTTGATAGACACTGGTGCCCAGTGTGCATTGATGCCATCTGAACACAAGACTACGGAGACTGTTTCTATTTCTGGAGTGACAGGAGGGTCGCAGGAGTTGTCAGTGGTAGAGGCCGAAGTAAGTTTGACTGGAGACCAATGGGAAAAGCATCCCATTGTGAAGGGGGCAGGAGTCCCCTGTATCCTTGGTATTGATTACCTCAGAAGAGGATACTTCAAGGACCCGAAGGGGTACCTATGGGTTTTCGGTGTAACCACAGTGACTGAGGAGAAATCCAAGCAATTGTCTGCCCTGCCTGGTCTCTCAGAAGATCCTTCTGTTGTAGGATCCCTGTGAATCGACGATCAACAAGTGCCAAGAGCCACTTCAACAGTGCATAGACAACAGTACCGGACCAATTGAGATGCTTTGATCCCCATCCATAAGATGATCCAGAAGTTGGAGAGTCAAGGGGTGGTCAGTAAAACTCATTCACCCTTCAACAACCCCATCTGACCTGTGCATAAATCTGATGGAGAATGGAGACTGGACTATTGTTGCTTGAATGAAGTCACGCTGTGCCAGACATGTTGGAGCTCCAGTACGAGCTGGAGTCCAAGACATCAAAGTGTTGCCACTATTGATATTGCAAATGCATTTTTCTCCATTCCCTTGGCAGCAGAGTGCAGACCACAGTTTGCTTTCACGTGGAGGGGTGTGCAGTACACCTGGAACCGACTGCCCCAGGGGTGAAAGCATAGTCCAACAATTTGCCATGGGGTGATGCAAGCCACC